GAATAGTACATACAAATGTAATAGTTCAGTATGAATAGCAGAAACATGAGCGTGGACCTCAGGCTGTAATTACAACGGTTTGCTGTGGCGCAGTACTTGATTCTTGAGCACAGCAGTCCTGGTGTATTCAGCTTTGTATCCTAAACACTGAGCCCAGGTCCTGGTACATAGGAACTGGGGATTGAATCGTTATGAAATAACTCTTATCACCATTTTTTCAGATTTGAAATTGAGGCCCCAAATGCTAAGTGATATAGTGATTTAGTGATTATGTCCTGACCACCTTTCCCTAAGTTCACCGGTAGAACTTCCAGAGGCCTCTGGAGGATTTTACCCTGACTGCCTGGTATCAAAGGGAGGGTTTCTCAAAGTGTGATCTGGCGCTACCTGGCACAGACTGACTTTTGAAGATACTTACTAAAAATATAAAATCAAATCTCATAAATGTAATGGGGGGGCAGACACATAAAATAAGAAATGAAAGAGAGAGCAGTACTACCACTGTACAGAAATAAAAAGTATTCTAAGAGAGTACTATGAGCAACTGTAGGCCAACACAAAATGGACACATTTCTAGAAACGCACAACCTACTGAGACTGAATCATGAAGAAACAGGCAATCTAAACAGGCCTATAACTAGAAGGAGATGAATCAGTAATTAAAAAAAAAAAAACTGAACAAAAAAATCTCCCAACAAAGAAAAGCCCAGGAACAGATAGTTTCACTCATGAATTTTATCAAACATTTAAAGAAAAATTAACAGCAATCCTTCTCACACTCTTCCCAACAATTGAAGAGGAGGAAATACTTCCTAACTCATTCCAGCATTATCCTGATACCAGAGTGAGAAAAAAGATACCACATGTAAAGGAAACTATAGAGCAGTATCTCTTATGGATATTGATGCAAAAATCCTGAACAAAATATTAGTGAAGAGATTCAACAGCACAGTAAGAGACTTTTACATCATGACAATGTGGGATTTATTCTAAGAATGCAAGGATGGTTCAAGATACAAAAATCAATCAATGTAATACACCACTTTAACAGAATGAAGGGAAAAAAAACATATCTCAGTTGATGTAGAAAAAGCATTTGGTAAAATTCAACACCTTTTCAGATAAAAACACAACCAACTATGAATAGAAAGAAAGTACCTCAACAGAATAAAGGTCCCATGTGAAAAGCCCATAGCCAACATCATGCTCAATGGTAAAAGACTAAACACCTGTTTTCTAAGATCAGGAACACATAAAGGATGCCTTGTTTCTTCAATTCTATTCAACATAGTACTGGGCATTTTATGCAAGAAAATAAAAAGCATGTAAGTTGGAAAGGAAGAAATAAAATGTTCTCTGTTCACAGATGGCATGATCTTATATGTAAAAAAAAAAAAAAATCCTGCAGATTGCGCACACGTACATATACAAAACAGAACTAATAAATGGATGCAGCAAAGCTGCAGGATACAATATCAACACACAAAACTTAGTTGTGTCTCTATACACTGACAATGAACAGTCTGAAAAGAAAATTAAGAAAACAATTTTATTTACACTAGCATTAAAAAGAACAAACTACTTAAGAATAAACTTAACCAAAGCAGTGAAAGACTGACAACTATAAAGCATTGCTGAAAGAAATTAAAGATACAAATAAATGGAAATGTATTCTGTGTTCATGGATTGGAAGACAGTATTATGATCTACAAGTTCAATGCAATCCCTATAAAAATCACCAAAATGTTTTTTTTTTGAAATAGAAAAATCCATCCTAAAATTCATGTGGCATTTCGAGACACCCTGAATAGCCAAAACAATCTTGCAAAAAAAAAGAACAAGTTGGTAGTCTCACACTTCCTGATTTCAAAACTTACAGTGCTACAGTAATCAAAACAGTATGGTGCTGGCGCAGAGACATATCAACCAATGGAGCTGAATAGAGCTCAGAAGTAAACCCAATGATTCAGACAAGGGTGCCAAGACCGTTCAATGTCTTTTCAATAAATCGCATGGGAGAACGGGATAACCACATACGAAAATGAAGTTGACCCTTACTTTACACCATATGTAAAAGTTAACTAAAAATTGATCAAAGACCTAAACATAAGAGCTAAAACTATTATTAAAAAGAACTAAAAACCCTGGCTGGTTTTGCTCAGCCATTAGAGCATTAGCCCTCAGACCAATGAGTCATGGGTTTGATTCTGGTCAAGGGCACGTACCTTGGTTGTGCTTCATCCCTGGTCGGGGTCGTCAGGGTCATGCGGGAGGCAGCCAGTTGATGTGTCTCTCTCTACCTCCCTCCCACTTGGAATGAAAAAATATTCTCAAGTGAGGATTTAAAAAAGAAAGGTAAAACTGTTATGTTTTGTCTTAGATAAAAACATAGGAGAAAGCTTTGTGATGTTAGATTTCTCAATGATTTTTTAGATATGACACTCAAAGCACAAGCAACAAAATAAAAATGAGATAAATTAGACTACATCCAAAAAAAACAAACACCCCACCCCCCCCACACACACACACACAAAACTTGTGTGCATGGCCCTAGCTGGGTTAGCTCAGTGGTTAGAGTGTCAGCCTGTGGTCCAGAGACACCCAGGTTTGGTTTCCGCGAAGGGCACGTACGTTGGTTGCAGTTTGTCCCCAGTCCTGGTTGGGTCGTGCGGGTGGCAGCCACTCGATGTGTCCCTTTCACATCGATGTTTTTCTCTCTCTGTCTCTCTCTCCCACCCACTCTATCTGAACAAAAAATGGAAAAATGTCCTCGGGTGAGGATAAAAAAAAAAACTTGTGTGCATCAAAAGACACTGTCAACAGAATGGAAAGGCAACCTATGGATGGGAGAAAATATTTATAAATAATATACCTGATAAGTGGTTAATATCAAGAATATATAAAGAACTACAACTCAACAACAACAAAATAACCCAATTAAAAAATAGCAAAGGGCTTGAATAGACATTTCTCCAAAGAAGATATACCAATGGCCAAAACATATTTGAAAAGGTGCTCAATATCAATAACCATTAAGGAAATTAAAACCACCTCACATCCCATTAGGATGGCTATATTTTTTAAAAGTTATTTTCCCACCCAGAAAAAAAGTGTTGCCGAGGATGTGGAGAAAATGGTGGGAATGTAAACTAGTATGGCCACTATGGAAAACAGTATAATGCTTCCTCAAAAAACTAAGAATTACCATATAACCCAGCAATTCCACTTCTGGGGATATATCCAAACAAACTGAAAGCGGGACCTGGCCTGGCCGGTGAGGCTCAGTGGACTGAGCGTCGTCCCGGGGACTGACAGGTCCCAGTTCTGTTCCCGGTCAGGGCACGTGCCCAGGTTGCGGGCTTGATTCCCAGTAGGGAGCATGCAGGAGGCAGCCGGTCAATGTTTCTCTCTCACATGGATGTTTCTATCTCTCTCTCCCTTCCTCTGTCTCTAAAGAAATCAATTAAAAACCATTGAAAGGAAGGAAGGAAGGAAGGAAGGAAGGAAGGAAGGAAGGAAGGAAGGAAGGAAGGAAGGAAGGAAGGAAGGAAGGAAGGACTTGAAGAAATATTTGTGAGCCCATGTTCATAGTAGCTTTATTCACAAAGTCTAAAGGTGGAAGCAACCCAAGCACCCACCAGCGGATGAATGGATAAACAAAATATGTTACATACACAAAATGGAATAATACTTAGTTTTAAAAAGAAAATAAATTCTGACACATGCTACAACAAACATGGATGGAATTTGAAGACGTTATGCTAAGTGAAACAGGTCAAAGAACAAATGGTGTATGATTCAACTTACCTGAGGTGCCGAGAGCAGTTTGGTTCATACAGACGTACGGTGGAGCGGTGGCTCCAGGGCCTCGGGGAGGCAGGGGCGAGAGCTGCTGTCTAAGGGAGACAGGGTTTTCGTTTTGCAAAATGAAAAATGTTCTGGAGATGGATGGTGGTGATGGTTGCACAACAGTGTGGTGTACTTAATGCCACTGAACCGCACACTTAAAATGGTTAAGATGATAGATTTATGTTGTGTATTTTATTACAATTTTTAATTTAAAATTTAAAAAAAACAAGACACCAAAAAGTGCATAGTGCATGATTCCATTGGTTTCAGGTCCAAAAATGACTTGATGGTGTTAGATGTCAGGAGAGGGGTTCCCCGTGAAAGAAGAGAGTAATTTTGGGAAAGAGGTGTGAAGAGGCTTCTGGGGTGCTGGTGATATTCTGTTTCTTGACATGGGTGTGTACAGTCTAGGAAGTGTTGAGCTATACCTTTGTGGCTGTGCATTTTTCTATGTGAATGCCATACTTCAAAAAATATTCCACAAATGTAGATCATGAGCCCCACAACGGAATACAGAATCAGAATCTCTGCATATAAACACCCCCCCCCCCCCCCCCCCCGCCTGGCCAGTGTGGCTCAGTGGTTGAGCGTGGGACTGATGCATCAAGAGGTCACCAGTTTGATTCCCGGTCAGGGCACATGCCCAGGTTGTGGGCCAATCCCCAGTAGGGGGCATGCAGGAGGTGGCCAATTGATGTCCTCTCTCATCCATGTTTCTCTCTCTCCCTCTTCCTTCCTCTCTCTCTAAAATCAATAAAGAAAGAAAAGAAAAATAAGAAAAACCCCTCCCAAGTTTTTCTTAAGAACATTGGATTTTGGAAATCTTTGGTAAAAGAAGGCGATTAGGTAAATAGACTTCCATTGCCCAAGAATTGTTCAGTTCTACCCTGTATGTAAATATTCTTTAGAAAAGAATGTCTTGCTTTCCCTGAGTCATTTACCTTCTGTTGGGAAAACACATCATCTTTCAATCAATGCGTACAGAAATGTGTAGTCTAAATATTCATGTACAAATATCATTGCTTCTCATATGTCCTACATACTATCATTTTTTAATATTTATTAGCTATATTAGGAATATTTATTAGAAGAGCTCAAAATTTTATTGAGGCCCCCAAAAATGGCAGGTGCTAGGACCTGACGGAATTCAAGCATCCGCAGAGGGAAGTGAGAAATCACATGGCCGGGTGTGGTGCCCTGGAAGCAGCTACAGAAAGCCAGTTCTTCCACACGCCAGCTCCGCCGACTCCATTTCAGTCTCTTCATCTGGCTCCCAGGCTGTGGCAGCTTCTTCCACTGAAAACATGTTTCTCGCAAAGGCTTTTTTGGATGGAGCAGATAGAGGTCTTGGGGAAGCCCTTGGAGGCCTTCTTGGAGGAGGTGGCCAGAGAAGAGGAGGCGGAGGAGGACGAGGAAATATTGGAGGGATAGTTGGAGGAATTGTGAATCTTATCAGTGAGGCTGCAGCAGCTCAGTACACCCCAGAACCCCCGCCCACCCAGCAGCATTTCACCAACGTGGAGGCCAAGGAAAGCGAGGAAGTCAGGCGGTTTCGGCAACATTTTGCACAGCTGGCGGGACCAGACATGGAGGTGGGTGCCACTGACCTAATGAACATTCTCAACAAAGTCCTTTCTAAGCACAAGGATCTGAAGACCGACGGCTTTAGCCTGGACACCTGTCGGAGCATTGTCTCTGTCATGGACAATGACACGAATGGGAAGCTGGGCTTTGAAGAGTTTAAGTATCTGTGGAACAACCTGAAGAAATGGCAGTGTGTGTATAAGCAATACGACCAGGACCATTCTGGGTCCCTACGAAGTTCCCAGCTGCGGCCGGCTCTGCAGGCTGCGGGTTTCCAGCTGAATGAGCAGCTTTACCAAATGATCATCCGCCGATACGCCGATGAGGATGGGAGTATGGATTTTAACAACTTCATCAGCTGCCTGGTCCGCCTGGATGCCATGTTCCGTGCCTTCAGATCCCTGGACGGAGATGCAGACGGCCAGATTCGGGTGTCTATCCAAGAGTGGCTGCAGCTGACCATGTATTCCTGAGGTGGGCACTGAGAAGGCAGTGCCCTGGAGGACAGGCCGCCGAAGCCAAGCCACGCTGTCTGCAGGCTGCTGATCCCCGTCCACAGCTGTCAGGTCCCAGCGACCGCTTCCGCACTCTGCGTGTGCCTGACTCGCGCTGCTTTCCACTGCTCATTAAACCAGATTTGCCAAAGGAGTGTTGCGAGTGGTTTGTGCGTCAGCTTTTTGAGGTCCTGTATTTGCATGGACCTGGCAATGGGGTGGGGGTGCCGGGGGAGCTCCGCCGGAGTGGGTTTGGATAGGTTGCCGCTCACTTGGTGAACGAATTCCAAGGAGCAGGAAATTTGTTGTTAAGAATGAAATTTTTTTTAAAAATGGGAAGAAATCAAGAAAGCACTCGGGAAATACGTTTTTCCCTCTAAAAAGGTGAGGAGGAGGGAAGTTCAAAATCTGTTTTTCCTCTTAATTTCACATCTGGTATTTCCATTATGTAAAAAAAGGAAAACGCTTTCTTAGAAACCTGTTTAACTGTGAGAGGACGGGTTCAGGAATGTGGAATGAGGCCGTTTTATACCCGGGTAGTTGTTTTCTTTTATGGTGGAGCATCTGTGTAAAATTATAGAATTCTTTAGTGGTGGAAAAAGCATGAGCAGTTTTGTTTTGTTCCAGTACATTTGGAAAGGGTGTCCAGGCGTTGGGCAGTGGCAGGGTGGACCGCAGCCCAGCCTGTCTGGCTGCCGTGCGGGCCGGCCCGAGCCTCTGGCGTGTGCTCCCTACGGCCAGGCGTGCCCCGCCTCCAGCCAAACGGGGCACGCACGACAGGGAATATTTTACTGTTGTTCCTCTCTGAAAACCAGGCAGGAAACAAAGTAAACACTGAAAGAAAAAAGAAAAGAAAACTTATGTAAATCGTAGTCAGTTCTATGGTATACAAAGTGACCTAGAGACACAGAGATGCATGAAAACCCGCTGGCTCCCGCCTGCAGGTTCTCAGCCCTGGCCGGGAGTTACGCCCCTGGGAGGCTCTGGAGGAATGCTGACACCTGGGACCCCTCCAAATGAGTGAACTGAGACTCTTTAGAGGTGGGGCCCAGAGATGAGTATCTTTAAAGCTTCCCTGATGCGAGTGAGCAGCAAGGTGGACGGCCACAGCGTCAAAGGAAGACTGTCACAGTGCTGTCCAGTGTCTCGGCCGAAGCTGAGGCCAGCAGGGCTCGTATCGCCGGTGTCCCGAGAAGGAAGAGGGCCACACCGAGAAACTGGCACCCCGAAGCTGGGGCAGTCGTGCCTTCCTGTGCATGCCCTCGGTTCGGCTTGGTCATTCCGACTCAGGCGGTGATAGCGGCACAGGCAGAATCCAGAGTCCTGTCCGGGAGAGGCTGGAGAGGCTGAGTTGGCAGGTGCTCAGGTCACCGCCTGCTCTCCAGGCGGTGACCCTCCTGCGTCTCTGGTTTTCAGTGCATCTCCCCTCTGTCCCAGGCTACTTTGGAGGATCTCCTGCGTTGGAAGATCAATTCTTCCTTCCTCTTTTGACTCCTTCAGAAGAAAATTGTAACTGTGAGCATGATGTAACTGGCCTGTAGCAGCCCTCAGCTGCCGGTGGGGAATCCCCAGTGAAATTTGGAGAAGGTGGCATTGGTCCTCTGCGCTCACCATCCTCTCCGACATACAGTACCGGTGAAACCACACGCATGTAATTCTGCACTGAGCCAGCACACGGGCACATCCGTTTTCCTCAAGGTGCTGAGCAGACCAGGTGTGGTTGGCTAAGCACGAGGCAGCTGCCAGCAGCCACACGGTGCCATCGGGATCTCTGTCTCACAATAAGCTTAGCAATGCGCTTTGCGTGGGGTAGGGACACAGCCTGGACGGGGAAAGCGGCCAGGATGCCTTGGAAGAGCTCAGGATACTAAGTTCTGTCAACCTTTGCACGCGATGGTCATGGAAAAGGGCGAAGTAGCTGCACTCATCCCCGCCCCACTTCGTTTCACATGTTTTCTAAGACAACAGCCTCACGTTGGTGAAGAGTGTCAGGCGTTGGGCAGTTGCAGGGTGGACCGCAGTCCGGCATGTCCGGCTGCCCCGCTGCCTTGGAACAGGGAATATTTTGCTGTTGTTGTTCCTCTCTGAAAACCAGTCGGGGCAAAAAGTAAACAATGAAAGAAAAAAAGGAAAGAAAGCCTGGTAGGAAGCACTTCTCTTGTTCCTGCCCTTAGGTTCCGTTTCTGCACAACCCGCGAAGCACCCCAAAGTCACCTGCATGCGTTGTCTTTCTGCAGAGAACAGAACACGCTATATATTTATATAAACATTATGTACAAACAAATGTATAAAATCTGTTCAGATAACCTCAGTCTCTAGAGTGGATGCTAGAACATTCAGTCCAAGCTCTGCATTTGTCCGAGTAACCAAGTCTTTGGTGTAGAATGAGGAATTGAATTTCTTAGTTTTCATCCTGTACTTGATGTTTTTAAGGCACATTTTCAATGTAAGAGGGAGTATTTACCTGGTACTTTTTTTTTTTTTTGACCACTTCTACATGGAAGAATACCTGTAGCCTAGATGACAGCCTTTGATTCCTATGCCATCATCCCATTATTTAAAATCTCTAACATTAAGCAATGCAATCAACATAGTAAGGTGAAAATAGCATTCATTGATAAAAAAAAAAATACATGACATTGCACCCTCTATATTTTTTAATTTCAAAACACCCCATATGATTTTGGAAAACACCTTCATCTTGATGTAATCCACCGAATTCTGGGACCTGTAGCAGGAAAAAGGAATGTGTTCTGTACCCAAGAACAGCAAATCTCCAAAAATACTTAACATTTGTACATTATTTTAAAGGCCACTTTTAAAATACTTTTTGAGTCACAATGCATGTACTTTTAGAATTGATTTATGTAGCAACTTCAGTCAGGAGTCTCATTAGCAGCATTGCTGAACTCATCCGTAGTGGGGTCCTTGAAATATTTTTGGATGTGCCTATTGATCTTGAAATGCTCTTAGAATTACTTATTTCTGATGTTTACCTGTGCTGCTAAGTGAACAAAGCAATTTAATTCCTAGAAAATTGGTAATGCAGTTACATACGTGAGTAGAAACACACGCCTAGGGAATATTCAGGTGAACAGAATACCTCTTCCCCGACTCTCCTGCGTAGCTGAGAACGGGCTGTATTTGAACAGATACTCCTGTAGGTCTCTAGAGTGTCATCAGAGACTCGGGGCCTTTTTCTGTTGGCTGCTGTTTATGGAAAGATCACACTCTTACTGGTGCCAAACATTTGTTCACCTATCGAGTCCCGCCCTAGCTTGTTGCTGCTAGTCTGCTGTTTATCTGGGAACTCATCACTTGACTATTTTGCTGCCAAAAATGATTCTAACACCTGGGATTGTAGTTTATGGTTCTCTTGCTTCCTGCCTCCTCCGCCTTTCCCTTTCCCCCCATCTCGTTCTCCCTTTCTCCCCCCTCCCTTCCTTCTTTGTAGTTCTCTCCTATCTCTTCCTCCCGTCCTCCCTCCCTCTCTGCCTTGCCTGTCTTTCCCTCCCTCCCTCAAGCTGTCTTCATTCTGCCCACTTCGTCCCTTCACGGTTGCCGCCCAGGGGTCGTCGATGTGGGGAAATGCTGTGCTCAGTCACCCAGGGTTGGAATTGCCACCGCTGCTCTGGCACTGCCATCATGAAACACCCCTTGGGGTGCCGTCTCGAACTGGTTAGGTTTTGTTTCCAGACGTGCCGGCTCTTCTGGGGCCAGCAAGGGGCCAGGGGAATAGCTGGGGTTTGCTTCCTCGCTGAGGGTTTATTGCAGATTCAATCTGGACGGAGGAAAGAGCCTCACCATTGCCTCAGTTTGCCCTTTTCCCCTCCCTTCCACTTTCTACAGGTAGACGGTTGCTTAGTGACCCTCTAGTGACCCACTGGTGTTGGCCATCATGGCAGGGCCACTGTCAGTGGCGGGGGTTGCCTCAGCTCCCTCCCGCCCCGGGATGAAAGTCCTAGATCCTGCCTCCCAGAGGGGCTCCCATCAGGGCTGAGCCCCAGAACTACGCTTGTGCAGCAGAGCCCCTCTGTCAATGCGCCTCGCTGATAGAATGTCTGTATTTATTGCCACTCAGAAATATCACTTTCTTTCTTGGGAACTGGGAATGGGTGGGTCACCTGCTTGCTGTTCCACCTCCATGCAAACTTTTTCCAACGAGGCTCAGCTCACGATGGTGTTGGGCCGTGCGCAGACCTGAACTGGACCACCTTGCGCGGCGCTCAGCAGCAGTTCAACCGGCGGCCCTGCTAACCGATGTCTCCCTCCCTCCCTCCCAGAACCACGACGGCAGCATCGACTTCCGGGAGTATGTGATCGGCCTGGCTGTCCTGTGCAACCCCGCCAACACGGAGGAGATCATCCAGGTGGCATTTAAGGTACCGTCAGCCCACTGAAGGCATCTCGGCCTGCCTCGTAACCAGGTGTTGATTCTAAGTGTGTTATTGAAAGCCAGTGGATCTGTTACACGAGTTTATAGATCTGCTGTCACAGGTAACGAGGCTAATGCGATTAGGACCATTGCTCCTGAGAAGAAGGGAAACACAAGCCGCGTTTAACCACAAAGGTCTTTGGAAGCAGCCCAGGTCTCAGCATCAGAATCGAAGAGCAGTGATTTCACCAATCAGCTTAAAAAATTATCTTTTCTGCCTCCCCGTTTCCAAGCCCCAAAGTGAAGTTCATGAATAAACACCACCTGTCACTACGCATCCTCATTCCTCATGTGGAAAGTTCTGATCTGTCCTTACATCTCACGCTGTGTGTCCGAGACCGTTTTAGACATATTTTCCTGATGGAGTTTGGTTGTGGTGGGGACAAGTATACTCCAAAAACAATGCCCCAGTGTCCTCCCTCTGTTATCACATATATTTTCACAGCAGCGTTGGGGGACAGATGAATAAGACCCCAGCCCCAGGCCCCAGCAGAACTTGATGGAGGTTTGAGTTAGGAGGACTCTGACTTCATTTATCACTTACATGTGCAAAGAGAGAGGGAAGAATACATTCCCAAAGTGGGTTTTTGGTTTTCCTGAGTTGAAAGGAGCTGCATCTAATTAGTATTTAAATGTATACTCCCTTCAGAATCCTAACCTTGTGAGGTCTGCTCTCAAGTCAAGCACAAACTCCATCTCCCTACTGTCTTACCAAGCTGTGGCTGTTGATTTTATCCCTCAGCCACGCCGTGGTCTCCTTCTTGTGACCATGGGGACAGCGGGAGGACTGTCTCCAGTCCTGTCTCCTCCTCTATTTTTTCTCCCTCTATTATGTAGAAAGACTCTTCCTCCCAGAGTCCTCTCTCACATCTTAGAGACCACCAGGGATCCCCTCCAGAATGTTCCTGTCTTCTAGCCTTGGCCAGGGAGTCCCCGTGTTTACTTTTTATGTTCATTTGGTTTAACACCAAGTCAACTGCAAGGCCCGCAAAGAACTTCTGTGGTTGATGCTTAGCAGATGGTCAGAAAGCAAGGGCCAGAACTTCTTCCAAGTTTAAAACATTTGGCTTTTACGGACTTATTCATCATAAAACCTAAAATTATACCCATAGCTAACTTATTCCGATCCAGATATTTCTGTTCCTGTTTGGGGGTTGTTTGCGTAATTGTAAGCTTAGTTGGCAAATGTGCACTTTGGGTTGACCAATGAAAGACCTGATAGAAAATGTGGCCCTTAATCACAGTAATTACTGTTTTTTGAAGAAGTCTTGAGATTTCGTCTGGCCTAGACCTTGGCCTGGGGCCCAGGCTGAGGACAGGAGGGCCTAAAGCCATAATCAGCTCTGTTTTCAGTAAGGCCAGGGTCATGCTTTATATCAGTTATTTTTAACCTTCTCGGATGTGTTTGGAAATATTTTGGTATACTTTATATTTATATGCGTATGTGTATATGAATATGTACATGTAGATCTGGATCTGGATCCATGTCCATATCTATGATCCATTCCCACTCTTTTATTTGGGCAGCACTTCACAGTTAACACCCCATCTTTGATCTCATTTCACCCTCACTGTGACCATTAGAGGCAGAACGTTGGTCAGAGTCCTTCAGTCGTAGCCATGGGCGTGGACTCTGGCTGAGGACACAGTTATGAGGACGGGGAGTGGGTGCCAGGAACATCTCTACACTCTTCCCTGGCCCTTTAGTGAGAACGAGCAAAGTCCAGCTCCGTTCGTCACGCCTGTTCCAAGGAGGGTCCAGTCTTGGTCCATGTCTTGGGCAAGACAGGAAGTGTTGATTAACCAAGTGTTCCACCGTGTTCTGTGCAACGGGGAGATGTCACTCCCCCGAAGGAAGCGTGGGTGTTAACGTCCTGCCAGAGCCTGGGACTCACGTGTGACCTGGGAAGGTGGAGCAGGGACATGTTGACAGGGATGAGTTGCTGAGGGAAGCTGAGTGCTTTGGTGAAGGGAGCGATCTGGGGTCATGTGACAGAGGACAGAGAGGAAGGAAGAGTCCAGTGTGGAGCAGGAAGGGAACAGAACATGGAAGTGAGAGCCCACGTGGCAGCAGTTGAGACCGTCGGGTGAGTGGGTGAGACTCGAGGACAGAAGACTGCGAAGGAAGCCGAGAGCTCAGAGGGCAGTGGGGCTGGACCCTGGCACTTACCATTCGAAGGCTCGGGCCCTAACGAGCCCTGAGGCTACAGTTTGGGAAACAAAGGCTAATTCTCTTTCCCTTTCCAACTATCTGAGCCCCCAGGAGGGGCCAAGAGCTGGAAAGGGGCCTGGAAGTCAGCTTTCTCAGCGGGGGGCAGCACCCCACAACTTCACACTCCAGTTTTCTCCTCCTGCCCTAATGGGCAACTATCTGCCTGTTGTTCATTTCATGATTATCACACCTTACCTAATGTCTGGGTTCTTTCCCTGTTTTGATCATGTGTTTGGTCAGAAGTAGATACCTTAACAGCAGGAACTCTAGATGTTACTGCCTGGATGTGGATCTTGGGAAAATTACCTGACTTCCTTGTGCCTCAGCTTTCTCATCTGGAAGGTGGGGCTAATAATGGCACCGACCACACCTAAGGCTATTGGAAGGGTTAAGTTAACTGATACATGTAAAGGGATGTGAGTACTTTTGATAATATCTGCACAGAGTAAGTGCTTATATCATTAAAACATGTTAATGCCCAGGAGAGGATTTTGAATGCAGGATATCGATTATCCATCAGTTATTCTGTTCTGCTGCTGGACTTAAAAAAATCCTTCCATTCTATCACTACCGATTGACCTCTAATTGATGGGTCTTGTCTTTGCTTCCTCATAAATTCTTCCCTTCCTGTGTCCTTCCTGCTTCTCCACCCTTAATTGGTTTTCCTGTCTCTAGTTTTATTAGCCTTCTGCCCCCAGTCCTGCCTCCACAGTCTTCCTCAAAGAGCTCCGTGACTCTACACGTGACCACACCACTTCCCAACCCTCACAGTCCCGCAAGGTTAGGTGAGGCGCCGTGTTTCCATCATGGTCTGGTTCCTGCTGCCCTTCGGTCTCCTGACTGAGCCCCAAGCAGTCCTCGTGTGTTTGGGGAATATCTCTTTAGGTTCTGAGACCCAACTCGCATGTCACCTCCTCTGTGCAGTCTTCCCTGACCTCTCCCGATAGGCGTCATCTCTTCATCCTCCGCAGGACTCTCATGTCCTTTTGTCCTTTGCACTGTGGTAGCCCCTGTGTTAATTCTCTGTCCACCACCAATCTAGAAGTGTTGTGAGGGCTACAGACACCATAGTTTCTTCATGAACATACCCCGGCCCTGGCACAATGAATGCTTGAATTATCCAAGAGTTTATTTCCCAAGATTATTCCATACCCATATTGCTCTGGGGGAACTAATTCTTACCTTTTCTTCTCTGTCCCCCGCAGCTCTTTGATTTGGATGAGGATGGCTACATAACCGAGGATGAGTTTTCCACAATTCTGCAGGCTTCCCTCGGGGTGCCTGACCTTGACGTTTCTGGTCTCTTCAAGGAAATAGCCCAGGGGGATTCTATCTCCTACGGTGAGTAGGCAGTTTGGCTCCTGACTCATTTTACAAGGGAGGACATCAGACTATGGATGGACTCACACAGGGTGCTGTTGCCCTCCACCACTTATATTAACAATAGAAATGACGATGATGACGACAACAGTAATAATAGTTGTAGTGTTGTAGTGGTAGTAGCTAATTATTGAGGACTTACCATATGCTAAGTACTCCTGTAAACATTTTATATGTAGTAACTCATTTGCTGTTTGCAGTGAGCCTGTTTAATTTTATGTCACTGAGATGCAGAGAGTAACTTACCGAAGGTCATCCAGCCGGAGAATACGAGAACCAGAATTTCAGCAGCTTCGGTACATTTCCACGTTCGCCAGCTGCTGGCATGTTGACGGCACCCCGAGAGGGAGGGACTGGGGGAGGAAGGCCTAATGACTAAACGGCAGGCTCATCCGTCACCGACTGACGTTCTCCCAATGGCTCCCGACCGCACACCAGAACAAGCATGGTGCCTCAGTTTCCACACACCCACGGGCAGTCACCGAGAAACGTGCCGCAGCAGTGACGGTCCCGCCTTAGCTTTGCCACAGCCCACAGGTCAGGCCAGCTCGTGTCCCCAGACTGCTCCCTTGGGGGTATTCAGAGTTTCAGCTGAACTTTCGTGGGATGGGGAAATTAGATCACATAATTCTCTTATCCTGTTTTTAATTATTGCCATTTTGGCTGCCCTTTATTCTATTTTAGGTAATTAAGTGCCCAGGGCACTTAATCTATTGAGTTCATTTAAGAAAAAAGGAAAGATAGAAAGAGGGGGAGGCAGGAAGGAAGGAGAGAGAGCGGGAAGGAAGGAAGGAAGGAAGGAAGGAAGGAAGGAAGGAAGGAAGGAAGGAAGGAAGGGAGAGGGGAAATACATACTGAGATAAAACTTACGGGTCATAAACCCATGTGCACTCATTCTCTGACCATTTTTCTTTTGTAACAAGACTATTATTGTGAACTACCAAATTTTGAAAAACTATTAAGTATAACTATTTCAGTGGAAACTAATACTAAAAATTCATTGTAGGTTGCCATAATTTTGCTTGTTGATTTCAATAATTTTTAGAGAAATCTACATTGTTTTGGGCAGTTCAACCTTTTTCTTTTCCGAACACAGGGTATCTCCCTTTCCCCAATAGTATACCAGTCCACTTTCTTCCTTCCTTCCTTTCTTTTTTTGGCAGGAATGTTTGGGATATGTAAGTATTATTTTATAAAAAATAGGTATTGAAATGTATCATGAATGTGACCTTTTAAACTGTCTAACTGCGTCATTGAAATGGCCTTCGTTCTTGGTTCTCCATTAGCCGCATGCCTGCCCAAATGCCACTGAAAGTCGGTTCACAGCGCGCCTTCCAGAAATGAATTCTCTTTCATTCCACTGACATCCCCAAAGAGGACAGAGACTTGATCTTTTGAACAGAGCATAAGCCTTGAAATTAAATCTCTTGCTTTCAGTAGATCAGCTCTCATGCTCACTTATCGTAGAAGTCCCCTAAGTCCCCTGTGTCTCCGTCATTGAAACAGACGCATGCAGATGAGCCTTTATTTTCAATGTTAAGAAATGACCGTTCTTAGCTTGCCGGGTGTGGAAACAGAAAGTGGTCTATGAATGCAAACTAATGTTGCAGTTGCAAAGCATGATTCCAGCTCAGTCGGGTGGCCCCCTCATCACTGAGACCTGCTTCTGTCTTCAAGAGTTGTTAGGACTCCTGGTCAGGATGGCGGGTAGGTAACCATGGCACTGCGTCCTCCCACAACCACATCAGCGTTACAACTAAACTACAGAACAACCATCATTCAAAGCCGCCTGAAATCACGCTGAATGGAAGTCCTACAGCTACAGGATTAAAGCAGCAGCCACATCCAGACTGGTAGGAGGGGCGGAGGGGACGGGCTGGTCCCACAACCACGTGTGGCAGATAAAAATCAGGAGGACACCTTGGCTGGGAAGATCCTCCCTGAGGACTGAGGGGTCCCCGTCCCACACCAGGTGCCCCGCTCAGGGTTCCAGTGCCAGGAAGAGAATCCCCATCACTTCTGGCTGGAAAACCAGCGGGAACTGAGGCTCAGGGAGGCTGAGGCGGCGGGAGCCCCAGGCAGCTCCCTAAAGGGCCCGCGCACGGACTTATCAGACTCTCTCCCTCTAAGCTTGGAGGGGAGGCAGCTCGAGGGGTGCCAGAGACACACAGGGAAGAACTGAGCTGTTTGGCACTGGAGCGAGGGCTGGAGAGGGGGCTTTCTCTGGGACAAACGTGCTGTAAGAGGCCTTTGTTCCTTTGGTGAGCCTGGGGTGGCAGACAGTCACCATATCTGGGACTCCAGCAACCTGGCTCACACTGGTTGCCCCGCCCTGGTGACTCCCTGAGGCCCCGCCCCACCCAACTTTCAGGCCCACCCAAGCTGTTGCCACTTTAACCATAGGATTGGCCTGTCTTGGATCCTGCTTCAGGTTTTCCTAAATTCTTTCAAACAAGCAGCATCTGGTCTCAGTTAGCCCCATTCCTCTCGTTAAGTAATACACAGAAACAAACACAGGGAAGCAGCCAAAATGAGGAGACAGAGAAACAGGTCCCAAATGAAAGAACAGAACAAAACTCCAGGAAAAGAACTAAGTGAAATGGAGATAAGCAACCTAACAGATGCTGAGTTCAAAACACTGCTTATAAGGATACTCAGTGAACTTAGTGAGAACCTCAGCAAACTTAGTGAGGGCCTCAAGAACAGAAATGAAGGATGCACAGTCAGAAATAAAGGAGGCGCTAACTGGAGTAAAGAATAATTTACACGGATTCAATAGTAGAGTAGGTAAAGCCAAGAAGCAAACCATCGATTTGGAATATAAGGAAGCAAAAACACCCCATCAGAACAGCAAAAAGAAAAAAGAATCCCGAAAAATGAGGATAGTGTAAGGAGTCTCTGGGACAACTTCAAGCGTGCCAACATTCGCATCTTGGGGGTGCCAGAAGGAGAAGAGAGAGAACAAGAAATAGAAAACCTATTGAAACAATAATGGCAGAAAACTTCCCTAACTTGGTGAAGGAAACAGATTATATAAGTCCAGGAAGCACAAAGAGTCCCAAAGAAGATGAACCCCAAGAGACCCACACCAAGACACATCATCATCAAAATGCAAAAGGTTCAAGACAAAGAGAGAGTCTTAAAAGCAACAAGAGAAAAGCAGTTAGTTACCTACAAGGGAGTTCCCATATGACTGTCAGCTGATTTCTCAAAAGAAACTTTGCAGGCCAGAAGGAAGAGGCAAGAAATATTCAGAGTTAGGACTTCCTAAAAGCAAAATCCTACAACCAAGATTACTCTATCCTACAAAGCTGTCATTTAGAATCGATGGCCATATAGTTTCCCAGACAAGGAAAAGCTAAAGGAGTTCATCACCACCAAACCATTATTACATGAAATGTTGAAGGTCTTCTTGAAGAAAAAGATAAAAAATATGAACAAACAAAATGGCAATGAATACATATCTATTGACAATTGAATCTACAAACAAAATGAACAGGCAGAACAGAAACATTCTCATAGATACAGAAAACATTTTGTTGGTTGCCAGATGGGAGGGGGGTTGGGGGAATGGGTGAAAAAGGTGAAGGAATTAAGAAGAACAAATTGGTTGCTAGATTGACAAAGGGAAGGGGGTTCGGGGGTGGGAAGAAATAAACCAAAGAACTTATATGCATAACCAATGGACACAGACAACAGTGTGGGAAAAGGCAGGAGGAGGGGCAGGAGTGGGGAGGAGGGGGTCAATGGGGGAAAAATGAGGAACATCTGTATACATTCAACAATAAAGATAAGTTTTTTAAAAAGGAGTTGCTAGGTTTTCTGATGTATTGGGAAGTAGGCTCTTGGTTATCAGAGGATTTTATAAAAATGGATAGAAATTGAACATTGGGTTCAAGTCCTTTTATTATGGACCCACATAACAAGCTGATTCACAAAGACCAGGGACCCTTTGTTGTATAAGCTCCATAAACTCTTCTCCATCTGAACCGAAGAGGATAGAAAAATTTCATGATTGAGGGTAGCATCATATTTCAGAAACTCCAGGCTATTGGAGGCTTGCCGTTCAAACTCTGATAGTTAACTTAGCAACCTCTACCTCAGTTCCTAAATCTAAGACACCTGAGATTAAAAGCGGTCAGCTACTGAGAGAGCTTGTGATATGATTATTATGTATCGTATACTCTATCTGGTTTTTAAAATGTTTGTTTTGTTTTGTTTTTCTCTAATATTTTTACTGATTTTTAGACAGGGAGAGAGAGAAACATTGATGTGAGAGTAGAACATGGGTCGGCTGCCTCCTGCATGCCCCCTACCAGAGCCCACAACCCAGGCATGTGCCCTGACCAGGGATTGAACTGGCAGCTTTTCTGTGCACAGAACAATGCCCAACCAATAGAGCCATACCCGCCAGGGCCACTCTTTGTTTTTTATGAATCATAAGTCAGGGCTCAGTTTTTCTAGACTGTAATATTTCTATACCAGAGTTAAGGGTTAGAATGGTTTGATAAGACAGTAATGGAAGGTCCTGGGTAATAGAATTTTTGAAACATTTTATTATAAAAATAGAAAAATGCAGAAAATGGAATAAAACATAAACATGGAGCATAATGAAGTTTTGTAAAGTGCACACTGTGTAACCACCACTCAGGTGAAGAAATGGAGCTCCTGGAGAACTCTAGAACCCTTCTTCTCTCTCCAAGGAGGGACCACTGACCTTGCTTTACTGTAGCATTTCACCACAAAAGGACACGTCTTTAAATATTATATTTTTGTTTTGCCTCAGTTTTTGGAATTTATATAATAGACTCATACAATAGGTGTTCATTGTATCTGGCTCTTTTCATTCAACAGGGTGGAAGTAAGGTTCATCTGTATTGTGGCAACACAGCTGGTCATCCATTTTCACTGCCATGTAGCATTATGTTCCACCAATGTGTCCAAATGTATTGACCCCTTTCTACTGTTGACAAACGTGGGCTGTTTTCATTGTTTACCTGTTATATGAATAATGGTGCCATGGACATTCTCATCCTTGTCTCCCCGGACATAACATGCACCAATTTCTCTAGGTTATATACACTTAGGGACGGAATTAATGGGTCACAGAACATGCCTGTCTTCAACTTGGCTAGACCATGAAAAAACTGTCTTCCAAAGCAGTTGTGCAAATTTATGAGGGTTGAGTAATAAGATGTAGCAATAATTATATTATTAAAGTCATATGTTAATCTGAAACATGCAAAAAGAAGATTCACCTCAACTTACTGGGTTTTATTTTGTCTCTTCTTCTAGAGGAATTTAAAAGTTTTGCCTTAAAGCATCCAGAATATGCGAGGATATTTACGACGTACTTAGACCTCCAGGCGGGCTATGTGTTTTCATTGCCAGAGCAAGGCCAGGCAGCTCCCTCCATCACAAGTAATAAAGTCAGTCCTGAGAATCACAACGGGGGTCCCTCAGACAAGAAAGACGACTGAACGCAAGTGTTCCCGAAGGAGAACGAACTGGCTTCTCCCTGAAATCATGAAGGCATTTACTGATAGTATTGTAAATACGATTTCTTGAGTAATGATGATGTATAAAATGGAAAGCTTTGCCCTGGCCAGGTGGTTCAGTTGGTTGGAGCACCGTCCCGTGCACCAAATGGTTGTGGGTTCGATCCCTGGCCGAGGCATGTGTGGGAGGCCACTGATCGATGTTTCTCTCAGGTTGATTTCTCTCTCTCCTTTCCTCTCTCTCAAAAAGCAATAAGAACATATCCTTGGGTGAGGAGGATAAAAATAAAAAAATTTTTAAGTGGAAAGCTTTCTAATAAAATGATAGATTTTTAAAGATGCTTTTATTCACATGTGTAGATCGAGTAAATTTTTTTTGTTATATTGTGCTAAACTGATTGGTTTACTGGTGATAAGTATGTTTTTGTGGATTTTCCAGTTTAATTTGCACATCCAAAGAGTGAAATGCTCTCACTGAAGAGCATTAATCAACATAGTGAGGAGCTTTCTAAGGAAAAAATGTACTGTTTTGTTATCTCTGATTCCTTTCTCCTCCGGAAATAGGAATGAAGAGTCTGCACTGGCCAGTTTGGCTCAGCGGTTAGGGATCAGCCCTCAGACCAAAGAGCCATGGGTTCGATTCCAGCCAAGGGCACGTGCCTCGGTTGCAGTGCGATCCCGGCCCTGGTTGGGGTCCTGTGGGAGGCAACCAATTGGTGTGTCTCTCTCACATCGATGTTTCTCTCTCCCTCTCTCTCTCCCTCCCTCCTACACTATCTGAAAATCAGTGGAAAAGTGTCCTCCAGTGAGGATTAAAAAACAAAAGGAAAAAAAAAAAAAAGAATGAAGGGTCTGAGGAACATTGCAGAATTGTTTACCTTTAACTTTACAGATTCATTTTTTTCCATTTCCATTTCAGTTTCTTGGACCACTGACTGTGGTTGGACTGGAAAAGAGAGCTCATTAATTAGATGCCACTCTTACAAATTCCTCTTCTCTTTAGCCCACACCCCTAGTTCCTTAACCACCTGCTACGGGAAATCATACCCTGTTGCATGATCTACTGATTTAGAACTTTGTTTTACAGACAACGACTATGCCAAAAGCTAAGTGGGAATTGCCTGATGGAGGGTAACATTGATTGCCTAATGAGAAAATGAATTGTTTGCCACAGTTTAGTTTAATTTGGGTTGGATAGTTCAGAATGTAGCTCTTGCCCAGTCAATGAATCAGATTAGCTCTACTGATATAATGTTAGCATTAATAATTTTACATCTAAGTGGGAGTTTCATTTTGTTACATGTCCACTCAAATTTTTGAGCTTGTCTGAAATATCCATAGGAAAAGCACAAAAGTTCCAAAGTATCACCAAGAGCTGGGGCCCCAAACATCTAGCAAGGTCGCCACTTAACCCCAGGAAGGAATCTAACAGTGATATTTATCCTTTAGGTTAGTCAGAGGGTTAATTTTCCTCTGGTACCATTTGTATCGGATGCATGCGTATTGTCAATATCATGAATGTTTGAAATTTTGAACAAAGAACCAATTTTTTAATACAATGTACAAAAATATAGTTGGTTCAAATTCTGAATTTAGTCTTTGAATTTAAACTCTTTGTTTTGGTTATGTTTCTGAACATAATGGTGATTCACCCCCAAACTGTTTTTTTAAAGGCCATTTTTGAAGTTTAAAGTCTGCTGAGAGATGTTGGCATTTATATTTATTCAAGGGTCATGGTTTCAAGCTAGTTCTACATATTATGCACTCCATGTTCTAATTAATGAGTAAATATGTGTTTGGATAATTACTTACTAAAAGCTTTATTAAAGTATGTATAATTGTTTGCTTTTTATATTTCTTAAAGCTATTTAGACGAAGCATTGAATGAGCTGAAAACAATTGCTTAAATAATTAGAAAAATACACTTTTACAATAGTGTTTGTCATCTGCAATTGAATGTATGTAATACTCAGGTACCATGATTATCTTTTGTCATAGAAAAGCCACGTATTAATCCTATGAGTCATGAAAAAGTAGCACTGAAAATTAAAAGCTTTCTATGAGGCTCTTGAAAGTGATCCCATTGTCTTCCTGTTTTAAAATAATATTTTATGCTCTTTAATCCCACTTCTGCCGATGTAATAGTCCTATTTTATTATGTTACTGAATAAACAGAATTGCTACATAAAATCTTGGCAATTAAAAAATTCTGGTTTTGCTATTTTGTCTCAAATGTAATATGCCTTTTTAATAATGTGGTTTGAATTTGCTTGCATATTTATGAATATGATTAATCATTTTTGTTTGCATTTAAGCTTTATGAAATGTCAGACACGATTTTACTCTAATGAAAAACTCAAATTGTAGCCAAAGTAACGATACTTAGTATTTATAAAGAAGGTGACTTGGCATGAGGGGTGTGCGCAATGACACATATTACTACAGAAGGGGCCTCTGCTTTTACACCGTCCTAACCAGGATTTCTCCAAAGAGGCTGTTCTCCTCGGGATATAAAGTAAGGAATTGCATTTCATTAAATCAGTTAAATGCACTGTGGTTTTATATAATAGTTTGAAAAAAATAGTTACTCTCTGAAATGAGAAGCACTAGATCCCGAGACCTATAAGTGATAACTTCAGATGGTGCCGTCCGAAATGCTTGTGGACCAAGTTGCATACGTTGTGTGATCTAGTGCGCCCTCCCCTGCACCTGCTCCGGGAGTTCTGGGGGGCTGAGTGAGAGCTGCTAGTGGTGCCTACCGTGGATGTTCATCAAGGCCGCCTCCCTTTCAGAAGACACGCGGGCTGCCTCTGCATGGGGCACAGCAGTGCAGGTGCCTGGTTCCCGGCCGGGGACTCTCCCCCTCTGACAAACGCAAGGTGCTTAACTGGAGCGATGAGGGACGCGCCAAGGGGGCGCCGACTGTGTGGGGACAGGCGAGCTCCTAACCGCGAAGGTCCTTGTGTATCTGCATTTACACCGCGGCCCTAGCGGTCCTACAGAGCACTCAACGATGCTGGCCAGGGACCCTTCTCTAGGAAAGCAGACATATTACAATCTTTTTTTTCTTTTCTGTTCACTTAGATGAACTTTTTAATTTTTTGTGTGAAATTATTAAGCAGAGGAGAGTGGCGAGGCCCCCGCCCGGCTCCTGATGCATCTCCAGTGTACGACACGGACTTGGCTGACGGGCAGTAACCTACGGACGTGTGCTCCTCTTCCCCATCTCGGCGATCATTCTGTCCTGACAGACTTCTCAAAGTTTCTGTGTAAGGACCAGCAAAGGCTCTAACAAACTGTCTCCACTACGTTTTGTCATATATATTTTCTAACATGTTAACCTTATTATTTTTATCATTCTTATAAAAGAATCTATGCACATGAAAAAAGATAAAAAGCAGAGAAAAGAATCAGCAAAAGGAAGTCATGTTCTTCCACTACCCCAAATGAAGTACTACTAATTTTTCGACATGTTTTATTTTACCCTTTTCTCTAGCTATTCTTCCATTCTCCAGCTAGCAGTGTATATGACTGTTCTTTCCCTTGCCCTGTGACATTTCCCAGTGCCACTAACATTCTCTGTAAATGTAAATTTTAGAAGTGTACCTACTATTCCTTCAGGCAGCGATAACACAATATGTGTAATCATTCTTCTGATATTGAAAACGTGTAACTTTTATTTTAAGACTATTAAAAATGTCCACCTCAATATTCCATATAGTTCATAATTACAAATAGTTTGCCAAGGGACTTATTTATACTTTCTAAATTCCAAAATGAAAAATCACTGGAGATTTTATAATTATTAAAATTTGCTTCAAACTCATTCTATTATAAGAAAAAAAAGATATTATCTTAGATTACATACCATCTAGAAAACTTAACTTCTTGGTGTCTACTTCATGGTTTTTAAAATATTTTTTCCCTTTGTGAAAGTAACAGACTTCCTAATTGTTACAACAAGGAGTAATAACAGTAATGGGAATGGTTACCGGTGCACTGACTGTGCATCAGACACCAGATTACAGGCAGCAGTATAGTTCAGATTACATTTAAACACTCAAGCAGAAGTATAGTTGCCCCTGCTTTTAGTAAAGAAAATTTAAAACCATCCCTAATCACTCATTAAGTGGCAGAGCTTGGAATTAGACCTAATTCTGTCTGATTCCAAAGGTGATACTTCTAATCATTAGTATAAAGCAACACAGCTACCTGATCTATAGAACTTACAGGTTTAGCATCTGCCACGTATTTTCCTGTTCGTGGGTTCTGGACATCAGATTTCTACCCACGTAGGCTTTGGCCCTCCTGTAACTTCTCTTGCCACACAGAAAGCACAGCGATGGTGTCAGAGCATAACCCAGGGACCACTTCCCCACTTCTATCTTTTCAAAGGCCACTCAGTGCAATTTGGATAAAATCTCAATTATTTTATAAGACCTTACATGATCTGGCCCCTCCCTGCAGCCTGGACCTCAATCATCTGTCTCCTCCCTCATTCAACTCCCTCCACCCAATCTTTCTTTTCCTCAAACCCACTAAAGCCCCTGCCAGCCTCGGGGTCTTTGTTCCTTCTTGAGTATTCTTTGCCAAAGATTTTTCACTTGCCTTTCTCTTCATTCAAACTTAAAATCAAAGCTTCATGAAGATGTGATTCACGCCACACCATTCACCCATTTAAAGTGGACAATTCAGTGCTTTTTAGCAGATTCACAGTTGTACAACCATGGCATCTACTCTAATTTTTTAATTTTTAATTTTCACTCAGATTTTAAATCAAATGGCATATCATCTAATAGGAATCCCCCACCGTCTAATTTAAAGAGCGCACTCTGTCTCTATAGACATTCTCAGTCCTGTCACCTTTTTTGTTATTGCTTTAAAACTTCTGTGCACTTGTTCATTGTCTGCTGTTCCTAGCACTTAGGTGTGCCTGAGACGTAGTAAACACTCAGTAGTTGGTGAACGGGCGATGATGACAACGTTAGCTTTCCCTTCCTGTGGTTGTATTAGAACAGAGATCACCTTTACAGCAAACGTGAAAACCAGGACTCTGATCCCTAAAACGCATATGGAGATTAAGGCTCAGAGGGGTTTCCTCACTTGCTGAGTCACACAAGTGGTGAGCACCAGGGCTGGAATGCAAACCCAAGGCTGTCTGGCTGGGGGGGAGGGGGGTTGCTCGGCCATGGT